TCTCTCTCTCTCTCTCCATACTTTGATGGTCGAACGAGTGTGTACTTATTCAGGGTTTTTTGTGTATGATTTTTGTTGTTGCTTTTTTGTTCTTTTTTCTGCTCAGTTTAGAGTGTCGTGTTCAAGGATGACCATCGTTATTCCGAAGATGGGCTACTTCAACCCTGCCTGTCAAAGAAAGCCCGGGCTCTCAAGGGATATAACATTCCAGCAGACAGAAGGAGACAATCGTTAAGAGCCTATCTACAGTAGAATCGAAGCATCTTACCACCACAGTACAGACTTCAATGCGGGAGTTTTAGTTTTAAAGACAGTATTTTTATTACCCAGTTTTAGACAAAATCGAGTTATCGATTCCACCTGAAAGTTTAAAACCGCGACACCTATTCCTGGTGTAGTCTGGTATAGATATCTTTATAAATAAAGCGGGGAAAGTGTTTTGAAGATATTCAAAGCAACTGCCTTTTGAGAGGCAAAGACGTCGTTTTTTGGCTATCCTGAAAATTTTACGAAACTGGATTCTGTCTTTTAAAAGAAAACTCCACAGTTATATCTAGCCTGCGATCTATTTGAAATTAATGTCGAGAACACACTTCCAAGTAAAAAGCATTTTTATTTGTACTCATGAATACAATCTGCGGTATATAATAGTAGGTTCAATGCATACATAATAAATGCAAAGATTACATCAACGGTTAAGTAGGTCAACATTCTAAAATACAAACAATAATATAAACACGTCTTTGATGGTCGAACGAGTGTGTACTTATTCGTTGGTTGTTGTTTTTTTGTGTATCTTTTATTTTTATTTTTGCTTTTTTGTTCTTTTTTCTGCTCAGTTTAGAGTGTCGTGTTCAAGGATAACCATCATAGCCATTGGCCTTTCCCATCCAATGCCGGGGTATAAGACACCAACAAGAACCTCTCAATTACTTCTGTCCTGGCCTATATAGTCTCCACATCTGTCCAGCTCTATCTTATCTGAATCTAGTTTGCTCCTACTCCAAGTACTTGAAGACATTCCTTATTTTGTGGGTAATGTTGTACATGAATTTAGGTTACAGTTCATTACAATTCTTGTGTATTACAGGTTCTATTTCTGTGTATTTTTGTGATATTTAGAACATATTGGGAGAGAATGAATGAGTACTTAAGTGATCTTGCAAGTTTGTTTGGGGGAAAATGATACGGTTATGAGACAAGGGGTGGTGGGAGGGCTGGAGAGAAAAGGAAAGTGATTAAAGAGAGAGAGAGAGAGAGAGAGAGAGAGAGCA